TGGGATAGGAACAAAAAACTCCTTCCTATTGGGATTTCACAGTTATCCTCATTTACGGGTCAGGACTGGTTCCAGTCAGGTCTCTTACCGCATTCTTTTGCAGATTGGAAGACTGCGGGATTTAAAAGGCCTCATGATTTGGTAGACAAAGGGATGATACGAGACAAACTATATTTTGATCAGAAAATTGGAAAACAGACACCGTGGTTTCAATATCTGCAGTTGAAAAACCTCACTGAACATCTCGCCGAAATGGGCACGTTTCGGAGAGAACTGACGGATCTGGAAAAAGTAATCAAACTTTATCCCGCTCATCCGAAGGGAACACTGTCGAAATTATACAACGTGATACTCCTTGGAGAAGGCCACGCGAGACTCAAATTTCAGCTTCAATGGGATGAGGATCTATCGGTTTGCTGGAACGGTGCAGATTGGGACAGTGTGTGGTCGTCTCCAGCCAATCTATCTAATATCTTCAATATCCGGTTACAGTTTTTTAAACTTTACTCCAGATGGTACTTTACCCCGCACAAACTACAGAAAATGTTTCTACATACTGACCCGCACTGCTGGAAGGGGTGTGGGGGGATCGGTACCTATTTACACTGTTGGTGGGACTGTCCTATAATCAGTAAATTTTGGGAAGAGATCCGGAAAGTGATCGTGGAAGTAACTGCGCTTAACCTCATTCTCAATCCAGAAGCTTTCCTACTGAACCACTGGTCATCTGACATAGATCCCAGAAATAGAGAAATAATCTCCGTACTCCTGGCCACGGCTCGCCTGACTATTGCTTCATGTTGGAAATCTACAGCACCCCCAACGCTAAAGGCATGGTATGAAAAAGTCTGGGAACACTTTGTGATGGCGAAGATCACTGATAAGATACACAGAGCCCAAACCTCACAACCTTCCTACTCCAAATTTGAAGCAACATGGTTTCCAATCTTTTCTTATCTTACTGCGCATGATATTTTACCTACAAATGCTCACTTTCACAAATGGATCTTAATGTAACATCTTTTTTGTAGTCTTTGAATAGTGCAACATTCACTCCTTGCAATGTTTAGGTTAAATAGATTTTGGAGTATCATATGAAACCCTTGGGTGGGATTAGGTGGGTCAGTTTTTTCGATTGTTTTTGATCTATGTACTGGAAAGGCATATGTTTGTTATTGTATTTCTATATTTGAAAACTGCTTTGTGAAAGTTATTTTGAAAAATAATAAAAAACAATGAACAAAAAAAAAAGAGTTTTTAGAAAGCAGGTGGGTGGGGCCAGGTAGGGCTTTTGCCCAGCAAAGCTCTTGATTGGCTGTGCAGATTTTTAAAAACATTGCTTTGGCAGCAGTTGCCACCACAGCACAATGATCTTCACGTGTGACTAGAGTAAGCTGCAGTTAACACTTTGTGACTGGCTCTGCCTTCTGTGGCAGCCAATTTCTGGCTGTACCCTCCACACTGTGTCAGAATTCCAAAAGTGCCTGCATGCTCAAAAAGGTAGTGGTTAGCGTGTCAGACTAAGATCTGAGAAACTTAGTTCAAATCGCCACTCTGCTATGGAAGCTTGCTGGGTGGCATTGGGCTAGTCAAACGCATTCAGCCTAACCTAATTTACAGGGTTATCATGTGGATAAAATGGAGGAGAGAAGAATTATGTGAGAACAAAATGGAAGACAGGAGAATCACACAGAGAGAGAGAGAGACATATGGGGGGAGAGAGAGCTGAATTGCCATAAAATATACATTATCTTATTCAGGTGAAAGACCAGAAAAAACACACACTTACATTACAGGAAAATAATGCTTATCTCCATGTCACATATCTGCACTGAGCTAAAACAATCTCTTCATCAAAACTTCCCGTCTATTTCTTTAAAACTCATGTGAAGAAGTTCCAGTTTTACTTGTTAATATGAACCATAGGGATGGGCACAAACTGGCTGATGAACTAATGTTCGTCATGAATTTTGTCTATTTGGGGTTTGCGAACTGGAATTTGTGAACTGAAGAACCGGAATGAACTACCATAAATTTTGACACCATTTGTGGTGGTTCATGGTGGTTTGTGAAGAACTCTTCAGGAGAAACAGCTGAGCAGCTGGGAACTCCCCACCACTCATCTGATTGGTTTAAATGGCTCCCAGCCATTTAAACCATACTTTTAGCTGTACACAGCTTTTTATGGGGAGCAGAAAGTAGGGCCATATAAATGGTCCTGCTTTCTGCTTCATGAGGAAGCCTGAAAGTGACAGCTGAGCTGGAAGGGAGAGACTTCTCTGTGCCAGTCCAGCTGTCTCAAGATTGCTCACACAGCCCATTTCTAAGGACTGTGCCAGGCACCTCAAGCTGGTGCAGAGAAGTCTCTCCCTGCCAGCTCAGCTGCCTCAGGGTACTTGGTGCACTTTAAATGGGCCGCATGAGCAGACCTGAGACAGCTAGGATGACATAAAGAAGTCTCTCCCCACTTGTTCAGCTGCCCTGGGCTGCCTGGTGCAGCCCCTTTAAAAGAGCTGCATGAGCAGGCCTGAGACAGCTTGGCCAGCAGACAGGAAGGGGGTGAAGTGCCTTCCTGGGGGCATTTTCCCTCACACCTTTTTGCTGGCTGCAGCCAACAGACAGAAGGGGGTGAAGTGCCCCCTGAGAGGAGGAAAGCCATGGCAGCAGAAAAGAGGGGTGAAATGCCCCTGGGAGGAACTTTACCCCATATTTAACCCTCTGATTTTGCCCTCCCCCTACTTCAAAACAGCGGGTAGCAGAACTAGAGAGTTTAAATAGGCCGGAGCCATATAAACTTATCAACTGAGCTACAGAAGCACAACTCAGCTGTTTCATTGAAATGGCTCCAAGCTATTTAAACCCCTGGTTTCTGCTCCCCCACTTTCATGGGGAATAAAAGGCAGGGTTTAAAACTTTGAATAGTTCATGAACCTATATGAATGGTTCAGTTTGGGACCAGCATATCTGTTTGGTTTCCTTCATGGTTTGGTTTGTATTTCAGCCATGAACCACAAACTGAAGCACAAAAATGTGGTTCGTGCCTATCCCTTATGAACTAGTGGACAGAGTGTCAGGAAAATCTGGATTCAAATTCCCAATAGGCCATGGTGTTCATGGGTTGTCCTTGGTCCAACTGCTCTCATTTAGCCTTGCTTCTCCCACAGCATTGCTTTGAAGGCAAAGTTGAAGGGGAGAATCGTGCAAACTGTCCTGAACTAGTTGGATAAATGGAGGGATTCAATGTGACAAATCAGTAGAGTATAATCAGATCTCTTCTAATGTCTAATTTCTATTACTTTTCAAAACTATTTGAAACCCATTCCTGACATTCTGTACAGAGCATGTGTGGGTTTTTGATGGGCACTGAACGTCATTTATTTATATTTATTTATACCCCACCATTCTCCCCAGTGGATTGAAGCAGCTTACATCATTTTCTGCACCTCCATTTTATCCTCATAACAACTCTGTGAGGTGGGTTAGCTAAGAGTGTGTGACAGGCCCAAAGTTACTCAGTGACTTTCCATGGCAGAACAGGTATTTAAACCTGGGCCTCCCAGATCCTAGTCAGATACTGCCTGTCCTTTTTCTTGTTCTCCTTATTTTATGATTGAATACAGAACTAATCCTAGAATAATATATTAAGCATTCAGCATGCTTTCTTAAAAGTCACTAGCAGCATAAAAAAGTATATAGGCCCTCCTGAAGACTGTGCTTCTCCAAACCTGAATGGGATGTTTTCTGTCAATAACTAATCCAAAATAGGGTTACCAGCCATCCCATGAGAATCCTAGCAGCTTTTTGTAGGCAGATTCTGGTGAGGAGAAGTGTCAGAAATGTGATGTCATTTCAGGAACATCACTACATCCTCAGTGCTCTAGGAATTCCCCAAGAGATTCGGGAAATGCCTAAATGGATGTACCAATGCCACTCTTGTGGTTCTTTTTTATTATTAAATAGATTTTTATTAAGTTTTTAGGATAAACTGGAATAGGAATGGGAAAGGGGGCAGGGGCAGGGGGAAAAATTAAACTAATAATTTTCTACATGTAACTTTCCTCTACTTGTCATTTCAAATTATACAGAGATCGACTGCGAGGTTTAAGAATTCACAAAAGCTTCTTGATACTATGATATTAGGAAGTTTGTATCTTTATATTTCTCTCTTATCCAACTATAAAATTGAGTCTATAATCCAACAGAATCTTCTTCCATTTGCCCTTTCAACATCTAAGTCAATTTGTCTATTTCTGCACTTTCCATAATCTTTCCCAGTAGATCATGTTCAGAAGTTCTGTAGAGTAAGGGCAGGAGCCAGAGCAATTGGCAACCTGGAACCCCAATGGAGAAGGATCCCATCCAGGTAGAAATATGCACAGGCTACAAGGAAATCTCTAGGCCCTGATATGATCCTGATTATGTCATCTAAAGAAAGCTGGATCCTAGCAGTTTTCAGTGCTTCTCCTACCACTGCCTTCCTGATGTCATACTGTTTCTACAGAGCTCCAAGGCTTCTAGGCTGTGGCCCTTGTCTGATGATTTATTTAGTATTACACTGAGGTCTAGAGACTTTTCAGGCCTATTTTGTGGTCAACACAGAGACTGTGAAATGGCAATGAAAAACAAATGGATCCCACACAGAGATCTAAAACTAACCTGGACAGATCTGGAATTAATCACCAGTGAAATTACAGTGGAACTTAATGTACTCTGGCTTGTGAAATTCTTGCAGGACTGTGTTCTGACTAGAAGAAATATATGGAATATTCTACAGAAACATAATCTCATTTTTTCTAAGGTCAAAGGATTACTTCTCTTTAAGGTATCTAAATGTTCAGTTTGTGTGTGTCATCTGCTCTCATCTAAACCCACCAATGCTCAAATGTCCAATTACAGAAAAGCAACCTTTGGACCTTTTTAGAAAAATTCATCATCCTCTGCATTGTCATAGGAACTAGCACATTGCTCTGGAAAAGTCACATTCTCTGTGCAGCACTGCAGATGTATTACTTTTTAAAGGAGTCCTAATGAAATGCTAGGCACATACATGTAAAAATGTAATGCATGAACTTGTCATATACATCTTTGAATTAGAAAGGGACCGTTCCAGGGAACAGGAATTGACTGTAATTCCCTAGCAAATGTATATTTTAAATGTGTATTTGATGGCAGATGCTGATTTACCATTGGTCAGAGTAGGCTAAGTTTCAGTAACATATCTATAAATATAAATACATGTTAGTGGAAATAATGAACAGTGGTGATCTGTGTAATTCAGCTTTTGAATATTTAAAAAACCCTTTCACGTGAAAGTGTTCATGAACAATGAAAGGAATGAGGTCTGCTTAGTATTTGTTCTGATTATCTGTCAGAAAATGTTACTTTTACAGAAAGTTTTAATGCAATTACTGCTTTCACGTTTTCTACAAAATTTAAGGCATATATTGTAGCCACACAGTCTTCCTGTGAGATTGAAAAGACATGTTTTGCAATCTTTACTCAGGAAAATTCAAAAATATTGATTTTAATGGGAGTTGCTTGTGTTGGAAGGCTTTGACAAGGAAAAACTTCAAAAGGAAATAATTTAAATTGGTGAGAATTTTTTGTCAAACCCTCATTATGATGTCCTAGTTTGCTTTAATTAGCACTGCGGTTATTATTAACCAAAGTAGAGTGTTAAATTCGTTTAACTGCTGCAATGATATGTTGACATTGTTTTTTGTTTCTTTTCCTTGACTATTTTCTGGCTCTCCCATTTCTCTGATGCTGCAGTTGCAAACATACTGTGGCGAGAGGAAGGTACTGCAGTGAAATTGTTTTGTTGTAGTGATAATGTGCTTGTCTGCTTTAATAATTCCATAACAGGCCATTTTCCACTAACTTGCCACTAACCATAGGGGTCTCTGGTAGGAATACCAGCATAATTTACAGACAGACCAATACAAAAATTAGTAAAATATAGTACAATAGTGATCTGCATTTTTCAGGGGGGGGGGTGTTAAGTTTTTTTCCATGCCACAAAATAGGTATTTAGAAAGTTAATATCAAAATTAATGATAGATTACAAAATGTCTAATATTTAATAAAAATGCTATCATAGTCATAATTCAGTGTGTTTTAAGTGAATTGCAAGTACATCATGCCCTTATTTACACATAAAACTTCCAGCTGTAATTTATTCTTATTCACTATTTATACAGTTGAGTTATTTCCTAAGCCAAATTCTTCAGGGACAATCTTTTCCTAGATAAATATGTTTAAAAGCTCCTGTACGCCTTCCTTTAAACATTGCTAACCCTTCCCATTTTATTATATTTGACACTTGTGCATTCAGCTGGATCAGAATTATAATAAACCCTAGATTTGCAGATGTTATATGAATTGTAGCTTGTATACTAGTTGAAATAACCCTAAAAACCTTCTTAGAATCAGCTGAGGGATCCATCATATGCTACTACAGTGCACAGAAGATATTTTTCCATGTCTTTAGCTAATGCCATCATGGTAACATTTGAAAAACCATGTGGATGGAAGAGTTTGCATGGGTTCTTCTCAGCTAATTGTAATTTGGAAAGGAAGAGGACAAGTGGATGGGAAGACCCACATGACTGGCCACGCTTATGTTGCTCCAGTCTTTCAGACATGACTTTAGAAGAAGAAGAAGAAGAAGAAGAAATTGGATTTATACCCTGCCCTTCACTTGGAGTCTCAGAGCGGCTTACAAACTCCTTTCCCTTCCCCTCCCCACAACAGACACCCTGTGAGGTGGGTGGGGCTGAGAGAGCTCTGACACAAACTGCTCTTTTTCAAGGACAGCTGTGCCAGAGCTTATGACTGACCCAAGGTCACATCAGCAGGCGCAAGTGGAGGAGTGGGGAATCAAACCCGGTTCTCCCAGATTAGAGTCCGTGCACTTAGCCACTACACCAAACTGGCTCTCTGTAGTTCAGTGGGATGTTGCTTGCATCCCACTGCAATAACTTATGGAGCCATGACCAGGTGGGTTGTGGAGATCCCCTGGAATAGTGACTGATGTCCAGAATACAGAGATCCATTCCCATGGAAAAAATGGCCACTTTGAAAAGCGGACTCTGTGGCATTATACCCCACTGAGATTCCACCCCTCCCCAAGGCTCCACCTCCAAATCTCCAGGAATTTCCCAACCCAGAGTTGGCAACCCTAGCCATGTGTTAAAACTTTGTGTTCAAATGTGGCATGTGATTGAACTAGACTTGTGCACGTTTTCTTTATCAATGACAATAATTACTAAAATAGGGTGTTTTGTAATCATAATTAATATGAAATAGACAAAGTCCCCATCTAAGCAGACTATAGCAACAACAAAAAGTTTTTCTTTCATTTTGTTCTGATTTGTTTCATTATTGCAGTTTCTGACTCCTATTGGTTTCACTTTTACAAGACAGCCGGCATTTTTCTAATAAGGGAATAGAGAACACAGTGTTCCTGAGTGGGAGGGAGGAGAGAGGCTCTGGGCTTTCTTGATTAACTGCAAGTTGTAGCCCCTAGCATTATATAGCTGTGGGAGGTATTCCAGTCCTAGGATGGAACTTTGCCTTTCTCTTCCCTCCCCAATGCCTGTCCTGTTGTGGCAGATTTTCCTTTTCAATCTGCACTTCTTTGCCTACTTGCTGCTCTTCCACTGTTATGCCTCATCCAAGCAAATTGACCTCAGGGTCCTACTGCTGCTGCCCTCCCTCCCAAATGCCTTCCATTCCTTGTGTCATCAAATGCCTTTGCCTTGTAGGGTTGCCAAATTTAGATCGTCCGGGAGCGGGGGGCTCCCGGACGATCCCGGGCACGTGCGCGCATGTCACCCGGAAGTGACGTCGCACGCTGGGGGCGGGGCCACGCGATTTGAGGGGAAAACAAAGAGTTTTCCCCCCCCGGCTGCATTTGGCAGCCCTATTGCCTTGTCAGTCCTCCTTTTCCTCATGCTACAGTTCTTCAAGCTCAGTGCTGTCTGTGCTTAAGTGTTTTGAATTTTTTGTATCAATTATCCGATAGACTTTAATGCTAAACTTAGGTGCCTTGGGGAGGGCTTGATACGATCTGCCTGAATTTGGCAATGTGAGTGCCCTCAAGGGATTCTACAATCCCCCTGAATTTTGTCCAATTTGGATGGAAAACAATGAAAGGCAGGGTCTTCTACTTAAACCAGTGGGAAATAGTAACAAAAATAGAATTATGAACATGAAACAACAATAATGAAGGAAACAATTATGAAACACACCCCAACAACTAAACAATCCCTTTCGGAATTAATAACACAAAAGAAGCAAAATAAACTCCCATGCACAAGTCTAGAATAAACATGACCATTTGGCACAAACTGCCTATCTGAGCTTCACGTATATTTGATTGTTGCGCCATGCACTAGGTCTTAAACTTTATTAGTTTTACACAAATAGAAATTAAATCGGGTGGGGCATGTCCTGATTTGGTTTCCCTTTCAAAGACTTTTGTAGTGGTGGTAAATTAATCACTGGGCTTTATAAGCTTTGAACAATTAAAAATTGCCCCAAATTGATGAAGTAATCATTCTGTACAGAATGCAATAAGGTCTCTGTGAGTAGCATATGATCCTGCCATTTTGTCTCTTGGGGATGTAATTCCTCTGCTTTGCAGTGAACACCAAAAAATGAAATATTTTTGAAATACCTTTGAGAAAATAAGGATGCACTATCTTGTAATGACCAAAGTTTCTTTTGGACTGTAGTGGTATTCTGATGCTTTAAGAATTGTGTGTTTCAAGTAGGGATGCCAGCCTCCAGGTGGGTTGTGGGGATCCCCCAGGAATACAGCTCATCTCCAGACTTCAGAGACCAGTTCTCCTGGAGAAAATAGATGCTTTGGAGGGCAGACTGCATTGTACCCCTCTGAAGTCCCTGTCCTCTCCAGGCTCCATCCCCAAATCTCCAGGAGTTTCCCAACCTGGATCTGGCAACCCTACACCCCCCATCCCCCACTGGTGGTCAGAGGGGACCTAGCAACCTTAGTTTTAAGCATCCATATTATATTTATCAGGGTACTGATAATCCCATCCAAACTACATATTCTAAGAATGGGAAGGGAGTGACTGAAGTTGCTTTAAATGGAAGTTATTGCACTAAACCAATGTTCATAGTTACAATTACTATATTTGGTGAATAGATGCTATGACTGGAGTCATTACTAATTTTATTAGGCCTTCTGGATTTATTACACCTAAAGGCTTAGAAACATACTCCTGATTACAAATATGCCTCTGATATTATGTCAAAGCAGTACATTTTGTTTGTTTGAATGCAGAGGTCATTTTGGGGGAGAAAACGGGGGATCGCAGTTCCCCCGGGTGAGGTACGGGGGTGGGGCACATGATGAAGCCCCGCCCCCTGCTTCCGGCCGTCCTGCTTCCAGCCCTCGTTCAGCCAGGAGGAGGCAGGAGAAGAGGGGGGGCAAGTTGCTTGGTCCCTGCCTGGACCGTTGGGGGTGGGGTGTGTGGCCTTATGACACACTTTCGGTGATGTCAGGGGGTGTGGCCTTATGACACACTTCCGGTGATGTCAGGGGGTGTGACATATGCTAATGAGTTATGTTAATGAGTTCCCCTAGCTCTTTTTCTACGAAACGACCCCTGTTTGAATAGGAAAACATCATCATGTCTATAATTCTATTCTCTGCTACACAGTTATATTGCTCAGTTCTCTGATATCAGTAAGAGCTTTCACATAACTAGAGTAAGGAAGATTTTGGTGTCTACTCATAAGAAGTCCATGGCCGAATAAGCAAAAAACAAAAATCTTGTTTAAAGTAATCAGAAGAAAATATTTTAATTAATAAAACTAGGTTTATAAATCTTGTGCAATGCCTGACTGGTATGATAGAGATCATCAGAGCACCAATTCTAATGTTTTCCTTAATGGAAAATTTATAAGCCCATAATATAAACCACTAAATCATAAGTAACAAAAAGTCTACAGATCTGAATGACATAGTTATTAAAATCTGCTTTAGGGCAGGGCAAAGGAAATTGAAATGTGAACATGCATTTTTACTAAAATTATCATAGAGCATAGGATGGTTAATGTGCATGTATCTGCTCATAGGCACAGTTCACAATGATCATGAGGTACTGCATGGTTGTTATCATTTGTTTTAAAATGTCCCTATTTTAAACATCTGCAGAAATGTGCACTCATTGCATCAAGGGCCAAATCCTGCCTTTTCATTCATATAGTCAGTCCCCATTGGAACTTACAAGAACTGTGTACATGTGGCAAGAAGGGATTTTTGTCCACACATGTTGCACATGTCAGTCTAAGATACTTTTAAGCTAAAATACTCCAGTTCTACAGTGGTGAAGATAGTACAGGCTATGCTTTCAGAAAATGCATGATCTCTCACTGCAGCATCACATTTAAGGATCATTGCTTCTAGATCCACTTTGATGCCTTAACTGGGGTATTTCTGTGGTACAATTAAAAGATTAAAGCTCATATACTGAATTCCCATTACACAAAAAACATGTTTAGTTACTATTGTCAGGTAATCAACATGGGGAGGGCAGGGGAATCTTGCAAATACACAAATTTTATTGCATAATTGTTCACAGGATCTGTGCTACAGGCATATTTGCTCTATCATATGACACATTAATTAAATCAACAGAGCAAGCAAGCAATTCATTTATTCTGCAAAATACATTTTCTTTATTAACTGTCTAGACACAACCCAGCTCATGTTAAGCACTTTTAAGGACAGCATTGTTCAATGGGAGCTCTAGCATACTCTTCACTGTCTCCCTCTGGAATAGATGGGAATGAAAAGTGATTAACTTTGGTGGAACTTTGCCTTTTGTGATTAATGTCCTCAAGTAACTTTTCAGCCCAGATCAGTTAGATCTGAACAGATTTAACATTCACATGCAAAAGATGAGATGCTTTATTTAACTAAGGCTTTATATACCATGGCAAAACAACAACAACACAATTTCTCAGTAGCAGAACTATGGATGTTTGGCAGATGAGTACACTATCAACATTATTAGGGGTGACATTGGCCATTATAATAATCTATTTATAGAATATCTAAATGTGAACAAATGAAAGAAAAGACCCCCGGTATGGCATACAAGCTATTCATTACTGCTTTTGCATGTAATGGAAAGTGGACTATTAATGTTACAGAACATTTCTGACTAAGCAGAAATGTAGACTACAATCTCATATTTGAAATTCGTTGGCAGGCTATTTTCATAAAGCTTCTGGAATGCCCTAGTTTTGATAGATGAGTGCTATTGCAATGCTAAACGAACCCACATTTGTGAATTACAGTTTGCAAAATTTCAAAAATGTCTTTGCTTTGGTGGCTATAAAGATTTCCTCCCAATGGCCATACCACATTATAAGATGTATTTCTTGGAACAATGACCTGCACATTTTATTCTGCTTTAATATTGTTTCTGTTTATGTGCATAGATTTATGTACATTTCTTGCACTGGAAACAGATTCTGAAAAATGAAATGAATAGCAAACTGTTTCTAATAGGAAAGAAAGAGTCATGTGTTTTTGGTGGGAATGTTATAAAACACATGATCCTAAATAATTTACTTGAATTTATTACTACCACCAAGGCAATGCATTTTTGAGCCTATCTGTACCTCCCTCCTCACACCTTGAAGCCCGACTTGTGACATGAACCTGGACTTTGTGAATGCACCACAAGCATCCCAATTACTAGTTTTGTTTTGTTTTTAAATGGTGTTTTGTTTGTTTAGCCTGAATATTTGTTTTCAGACTTAGGAAGTTATGCCATGTTTTCCCCTGCTCTCTCTCTTCTTTTTTCTCTTCAAGGCCTTAGTGTGGGAAACATGTTCTACATCTTTGCTGATGATGGTATCACAATAATTCAGCCAAATGACTGTGAGATCCAGAGACACATCAAACCAAATGACAGAGTTTTTACCAGTTATGTAAGTTTGTGATTTTTCCCCCCTTGGTCTTGTTATATAATTGGGGAAAGTGTACTGGGAAAGCAGAAGAAAAAAGTTACAATGGAAGTGAAATGGAAATGTAGAGAAGGAGGCTTAATTTTTTAAATATACTATTAAGAGGAGTCTTGGAACTGCACAGAACCCCATTGCCATAATACTAATACTAAGCATTTGTTTGGCACTTTGGGGTGGGGTTTTTTTTGGGGGGGGTTGTATTTTTATATGTGTTTGTGTGTATGCGTACTTGTGTGTGTGCCCCTGGAAGATTTTCCCGTCAAAACACTGTTCACCACTCTGACTGAGCAGCCTCTTAGTAGTGTGTTTGAATTATAAACTTATAATGTTCTTTGTGTCCCACCCAGTGTTAAAGAAGTTGAAGTTATTTGGTTTTTTCTCAGGCCAGAGATTTTTATTGTAACACAGCAGGAGGCCTCTTATAAAACCCCTTTGGAAATGGCACTTGACACAAAGTAAAGTTCAAACAAAAAATCGTTGGTTTTATTGAACAGGCACAGTTGTAACAGGAATGGGCAAGAGATGACAAGTTCTTTAAACTGTAGTTCTAACCAAGGCCACTGCTGCAGAGACAGATGTGTGTCTGGGGTGGGGGCTTGACCTGGTGGCTCTCCAGGATCTGCTGGGCCAGCTGCTCAATGAAGAACTCTGCAGTGCCGTTCCTGTTGCTGCAGGTCCACTTGATGCCATGGACTGTAGGAGACAGAAAGCACATGGAAGTCATGGTGACCTCTGGTGACTGGGGTGGGGGCTTGACCTGGTGGCTCTCCAGGATCTGCTGGGCCAGCTGCTCAATGAAGAACTCTGCAGTGCCGTTCCTGTTGCTGCAGGTCCACTTGATGCCATGGACTGTAGGAGACAGAAAGCACATGGAAGTCATGGTGACCTCTGGTGATTGACCCCAACTGGGGTCCTGGAGGATATTCAGAGAGGTGGCTGAATAAAGCCTGCCACCGCCTCCTGACTGCTAAAATCTGCCTCACAAAACATAGCAACTAGAACTATACACAGTATTCTAAATATGGTGGCACCATGGAGCTGTACAGGGGCATTGCACGATTGGCCAAATTTACAGAGATCATCCTGTAGCTCTTCACAACGTGCCTGAATTCACAGTCCTGAATAATTTTGTATCTTCCTCAAACTTGGCCTCTCACTACACCACTCACCCCCAGTTCCAGGTCATTTATAAACACCATGTTGTCGTCTTTCGTTTCGTCTCAGTTAGTCATGTGCATAAAGTGACTTTAGAAAGTAATAAGGTAGTAAGATTATTTATCTGCCCTGAGCTGCTCATTCCAAGTGACAGGGCCCAGCACAGGGTGCCCAGTCTGGAGTGCAGGTTCACTACCATGGTCTATCAGACATTTCAGAAACAAGACAGCAAAGGGTTTCGTTTTGTTTTTTACAATTGTGCATCTATGAGAAGAGATCTCTCACCAAAATGTATACCATTAATAAATGCTGAGAGTACTATATATTTGTGTACATGCTCACATATATGTAAACTATCTGGAACTCTCAGCATGCTTGAGCGATGTGGGCAAATCTGTCCTGGGAGACAAAGCCAATAGAACCACTCCCTGGAGCCCTTGCACCAAGTCCTGAGGGGAAGTCTGAGCAACCCCAACCCCAAACAACCTATGCTCTAGCCTGAGCGCAGTTTTCATGGGGGAGGGGAGCTGAATAAGATAATCAAGTTTTTCTGGTGTCAGACCTCTGCTGCAGCATTAGCAGTCAATCATTCTCCCTTGGAGGGCAGGATGCCATCCAGGCAGAGCCTGGCCATCTTCCTCTTTCACGGCATGAAACTCAGCTCCAACCAATATGCCAGATGAATAACAGCTGGAGGATGGGATGGAATTAGGCCCTGATTTCACAGTAACTCTGCAGGATGCAATCTCTACTTTTCCATTCCATTATTACATAGAGGTTGCCTCCAGAACATAAAAAGAAACATTTAAATCCCATTTGAACACAAAAATTTACCTGCCTTATCCTGACCCTTTAATACAGTTCCTCATGTTGTGGTGACCCCCAACCATAAAGACCATTGAAAATTTGTGTTTTCCAATGGTCTTAGGCGACCCCTGTGAAAGGGTCATTCGACCCCCAAAGGGGTTGCAACCCACAGGTTGAGAACCGCTGCTCTAGAACTTCCTCTCTATGGTATACCCAGAGTCAGAAGTCTAGAGCCATCAAAGCTATTCACAGTTC